CAGGGTAGGCCCCCAGGGCCGAGGCCGGGGCAGCCGTGCCCGCATCGTGCGGTCCTCCACGCGCGGAAGGCGATCGGCCAAGGAAAGCCAGGCGCCAGACCCCGTCCGCATTTCAGCAGCAACAGCACCGACGGCAGCGCGGCAGCGGCAGCGGCAGCGGCAGAGCACAAGACCATGGGGGCCCAGATGTGGAGGTGCGGACACTCCCCCCGGAGGGTCCCCGGCGGCCGAGGCTCAGCCATCCCCGGGGGCGCGCACCGCCAACGGACTGGGCGCTCGGCGGCTCCGCCCAGGCGCGGGGGCCACCCTTTGCTGGTTGCCGGAGCCGGGAGGGCGGCGGAAGAAGGGGCGACGGCGGCGGCGGCGGCAACGGCGGCGGCGGCGTGGGGGGCGGGGGGAGGGGGGGCAGGCACTGCCGCGGCCAGCAGCTGACACGCCAGGCGTTGGGACCAACTGCGCCCCCTGGCGGGGAAGCCGACGACCAGGCCACCGGCCAGACGGATGGCCGCGGCGGTGGGGTGCAGCGTGTGTGCGCGCACGAGCACGCGTACACGTCCGGCCAGCCATGGCGTGGCCCGGACCGGGAGCCTCGGTTCCCCTCCCCCCCCTCGTTCCCTCGGGCCCGAAGAGCGCGCCGGCTCGAGAGGGTGCAATCCCATGTGAAGTACCTGGCCCTCCCCCCGCCCCCCCCCCCGGAACCCGGCAAACAAGGCGCCGCCGGTGGCATTCCTCGCGCGAATCGCGCGCGCCCCCCTCCCCCCCGCAACGCGCGCCGATGCACATGGGGGCCGGGACACAAACAAGCCGCCCTGTGGGCGACCCGCCTGGGCGTACGCCGGCCCTCCGGCGCGCGCGCGCCATGGTCGACCGGCCAATGCATTCTTCCCCGGCCGGCGCGTCCATCGCCCAGGCTCGTGGGGTCTGGCGGATCGAATCCGGCCCAACGCCCACAGCCGGGCGGAATATTCTTCCCCCCCCCCCCCTTCCGGCGAGCGGGTCTTTCCGAGCGCGGCGAGGACGGAGGGACACGCAGGAAACAGGGCACCAGGCTGCCGCGACCACCCCGGTTATGTGTTTGTGCTTGCGCGTGCGCCCCTTGGCCCTGCCGCCCCTGCACCCGCGTCCAAGCCCGGGCACGGCCCGGTGCCCGACGCCTGCGCGCGTCAAAGGGTGGCATCTCGGCCGGCCGGCCGGCCGGCCAGTTGTCATGGGGTCGGCCAGCCCCGGTGCTGCGGACGCATCTCCCCAGAACTTGGTGCCTGGGCGCGACCCGCAAAAAGCCCCCATTATAAACATGCTATTTTCGGCCGCACCGTCTGACGCATTGACTCGCCCGGCTAGTTGGCCGCCTCCCGGCTTGCTCGCCGCACGCCCGAGACCCCCCCCCCCCCCCCCCCGCGTCAACCACCGCCTCCTCGGCCTCGGGGTCCATGCCCACACACCCAAGTGGGGCCACCCGCTCCCCGGCTCCGCCCCCGCCCCCCCGGTCTCACACACCACGCCCCCCGCGGCCGTCGACCGTGCGGGGACCCGGGGCTGTGACGGGCCTGCCCCTTTGTTCCCTGCGCGCCCGCCCCCAGGGGGACGGGACTCCAGGCCTCCGGGTCCAGTCTCCCACCCACAAGAACCCTTCCGGGGGGGGGGGGGCAGGGGCGCAGGGGCGGGCGGACCCGCCCTTCCAACGCCGAGCCCGGCGCTCTGGGCTTCGTCGCCCAGCCCGGCGCAGTGGCTCGCACACCCTTTTTGCCCGGCGCCCTGGACCCGGCCGCCGCCGCCGCCGCCGCCGCCGCCGCCGCCGCCGCCGCCGCCGCCGCCAGCCCGCGCACAGAGGCGCGCTGACGTTCGCCCGCCGCGCCCAACCACCACCTGGTAAACAGTTCGCCAAGCCCGCTGCCTCCCGGTCTACGCCTCGACGCCCCTGCTTTTTGGGGGCTGGCGATTAGTCATGGGCGCCCGTCAATGCGCCCTGGCCATGCCCCCCCCCCCCCCCCCGGCGCGCCCCCCCCCCCCCCCCCCCCCCCCCCCCCCC